ACTTGCTCTGAATTTCTCCCATCAATCAAATATCTTCATTTGTTATTTACTGAGCACTTACTGTGTGCATGGACATGGGTAAGTGCTGGTTATGTAATGATAAACAGTACAGCGAGGTTCTTGAGAAGTCTAGTTACTATACTCCAGAAGCAACACCAGGAGAGATGCCCTAGAAACTCACCTTCACTAACAGCTCCTAAAGATAAATTATTAGTTTCAGTAATTACTAGTTGTCTGATGGACATATTTCCTTTTTTTTTTTTTTGATACCTCAATAACACCTAATGCATTCATTCAAGAGTTTTTTCATGAGTACCCACTATGTGCCAGATACTCTCCAAGGCACTGCAGATACAGAGATGGATGTGCTCTCTCTCCTCTGTGTTTCGGAGCTCTCGTTCCGGCAGAGAAGACAAATGGCAGAGTAATATGGCTGGGATTTGCATGTGGTGCTCAGGGAGCATAACGAAAGGAGTCTGGAAGGCATTGTCCAACCATTGGTGTCTTGAAGTACAAGCAACATAAACATGTGAAAATATAGAAATCCTAGCTGCATTTTGGAGCATCACCCCTCCTGAAATAAAGACTCCCAGCCTCAGATAGTGTGATTAGAGCTGTAATATTTTGATTCTGGGTGACTAAGAGGTGACAGGTGTGTAGCCTGGAAAAGCCACACAAGCCCATCCACAGGCATGTGGAGACAAGCACTGCTGTGTCAGAATGCAGGGTATACTCCAACTCGACGGGCAGGACAGCAATCCATTGAGGGCTGCTAACCCAATGGAAAAAAGTTAATCAAGAGCTAAATGACAGTCAAGCACCAAAACACAGAAGTTTCCAGTTTCCACACATGGTAATTTTGTGGTTGGTGATCAATGAATAACCCACTCCTAAGTTTTCTCAGAAATACTAAGCATACATAAGAGCCTTCCAGAACGAGTTAGTACAGCAGATATTTGTTTCAATAACACTGACCTATCTCATGGGGGGGGGGAGGGGAGTAGGCTGGAAAAAGGAAGTGGGAGAATCTGGATGTTGATACATTACTGGACGTTGCAGGAATCAGAGTGGGAGAGACATAGATGCACAGGGGGAAAACACGGGTGAGGCGGTGGACGAGAAAAGGAGGAAAAAGATCTAGGCCAAGAGGTGTGGTAGGCTCCACGCTGCATGGATTTAAGAGTAACATCACTCTGTGGGCTGGCTTTCCCTCCTTGATACAGAGGCATAAAAACCAGGCCAAAGATGCAGGCAGAACAATCAAAAATAGTATGTTCTTCAATGAGCAGATTTGGGTATTACCTTTTACTGTAAAAATATTAAAACCTCACTGAAACTTTCTCACAGCATGGAATTAAACCACATACATTAGGATCACTCAGGGTGACTGTTTAACATACGTAAAATGTGGGCTGTTCCATCTACTGAACCAGACTTTCTATGGCAGGACCAATGTAATGTGCATTTTTAAAAAATAATTATTTATTTATTGGGGGAGAGAGACAGAGAGAGAGAGAGACAGAGAGACACGGGGGTGGGGGGAAGTACATGTGTGTGCAAGCAGGGGAGGGGAAGAGAGAGAGAGGAAGAGAGAATCCCAAGCAGGCTTCACACTGACAGAGCACAGCCCAACACGGGGCTCAATCTCACTAACTGTGAGATCAAGACCTGAGCCCAAATCAAGTGTTGGATGCTTAACCCAATGAGCCACCCAGGTGCCCCCTGAATTTTTTAATAAGCTCCGCTGGTGATTCTTCTTCAAAATAACCCTAGCAAAGACCATACGCAATAGGGGTCCCTGAGGCAAGGTATATATCCCCCTTAACTGTGTGTGTGCAGTCCAGCACTGGACCTGGTACAGTAAGTGCTCAGTAAGTTTACTGAACTGAACTGAATACACCAAAGAAGTTTTAAGAGAAAAAGTCACTCAATTCCACTGCCTTGAAATAGCTGATTTCATTTTTTCCCCAATGCTTCTAGTCCATGTACACAGATTTTACACTACTGGTCACTAGACCACTATTTAACATTTTTCAACACATTTCCTCTTATAATTTTTAATGGCTGTAAAATATTTCATTCAATGTGCAACAGGTATCTTAGTTGATACAGACTGAGTTTTGAAAGGGTTTCCCTCAGGAGATCTTACATGTGTGCAGTGCTTTGCACAGTTCTGTTTCTCACAACACTTTGTAAGAGAAGGACTACCCTCACTCTGCAGGTGCTGGCCAAACCCACAGGTAAAATCACCTGCACAAGGTTCTGCAGCTCAAAAGTAGAACGTCATGACTTAAATCAGAGGGGCATGTGGGTGGCTCAGCGGGCTAAGTGTCCAGCTCTTGATTTCGGCTTAGATCATGATCTCACGGTGAGAATGAGCCCCGAGTTGGTCTCCAGGCTCTGTGGTGAGCATGCAGCCTGCTTGAAATTCTCTCCCTCTCTCCCCAGCTTGCATGCATGCACGCACACACACTCACTCTCAACAGAAAGAAAAAAAAAAGATCTTTTCTCTCTTTGTCTAATACCTTTTCCAAGACACTAAACATCCACCAGTTTCTGGCAGGAACATGACCCAACAGTTTCCTGATGTGAAAACCTTTAGTTCAGAATGTAGAAGATGGAAATCACACTTAAAGAGATCACTGGCCAGCTATAGCCTAACTGTACAGGAATGAGTTCCTACCTTTTGGGACACTGCAAAGATCATGTGTAATGGTGGAGATCTTCAGTGAAAAAACTTAATGTTCTTCAAGAACAAATGTGTATGTGACGCAAATCCATTTTTGCAATCCCCAAATGAAGGGGGCTGGGATTGCCCTGAACATTTTGAAACTGTAAGATTCCTCAGCAGTTATGTACACAGGCAACTACTAGAGGCTGTAAGACAGCTGGAAAGGAGGCACTGGAGACTTTTAGGCTCTTCTAATATCAAAGTTGGTATCACAGCATATTTGGGTAGCAGCTGAGTGCATAGTGGAGGGAAGCACTCCTCTGCCAAGAAAAAGGCCCGATGAATGACCTAGTGGGGACAGCCCTGTAGAGAAGGGCACATTATCCACCTGGGCAGCCATGGACAGTCCATCCTGGAGAAGAGAAGGCTGGGGAGAAGAAATGGTGCTGTTGTGTTTCTTATTACATTTGTTACAGAGGCAGGTTTCAGTATTATCATCAGGTCACAGTTCTCCAAGGAGAGAGAGCTCCTCCTATTCACCAAAGGTACAGGGAGTGGGTAAACTACCAGGAGCTTGGAAAATATAAGAAAGGGCAGTTTATATACCACAGGGGAAGAAATATGATCTTTAAGAGATTTTTCATATCCAGGATCCTAGGAAAAGAGCAAAGCAGTTATTGTTGAACCAGTGTGCAGAGAAGGTTGTAAGTCAAAGAGTCACGGCTACAAATGGCCCAGGTTTTGTAAAATACAGTTCTAGCTGTGCATACGTGTATCTGTAGCAAGAAAAAAACCTGTGCTGGATGGGCCCACCATGTTTCTATTCTCAGAGCATCATCTTGACATATCAAAGGTTGATCACTTTGGGAGAGGATATTAATAATCGCCACCAAAGTTCCTGCATCTATCTTTCCACGTATATTCTAGGATGAATCTAAAAGTAAGGTAAGTAAGGCAAATATGAGCATAAACTCATTAAAAAAAAAATGAAACACAGCAAGTCTAAGTACACCGCTGGGTCCAGGGCCCTTTATTCCACTTTGTGTTTCTTTCTTTTTTTTTTTTAACGTTTTTATTTATTTCTAGGAGAGAGAGAGAGAAAGCGTGAGCAGGGGAGGGTCAGAGAGAGAGGGAGTCACAGACTGAAATAGGCTCCAGGCTCTGAGCTGGCAGTCAGCACAGAGCCCGACGCGGGGCTCGAACCCACGAACTGCGAGATCATGACCTAAGCGAAAGTCGGCCGCTCAACCGACTAAGCCACCCAGGCACCCCCATTGTGTTTCTTTATATTAGAATGCATTTAAATTCAACCGTCATTTCCTTCACACTGTGAAGTCTCTTTCCTCTGTGTAAAACAAGGAAAACAGAGGCCAAAGTGTGTGTTTGCGACATGTCCACTAAACTCTGGGGCTTAGGATGCAAAATTCTTTGGTTACCATAAGCTCTGTGCTTTCAGTTTCTCTGGAGGCTAAGAGTGGTAAACTTTATTTGCAATCTTACTCTCCCTCGATATTAGGAATTCCTAATAACCAATCTTCATAACAAACTAATCTTTAAAAAAAAATTTTGTTTTATTTTATTTTTGAGACAGAGAGAGACAGAGTGCAAGTAGGAGAGGGTCAGAGAGAGAGGGAGCCACAGAATCTGAAGCAGGCTCCAGGCTTTGAGCTGTCAGCACAGAGCCTGATGCGTGGCTCAAACCCATGAACCGTGAGATCATGACCTGAGAAGTCATGCTTAACCGACTGAGCCACCCAGGGTCCCCAAAACTAATCTTTTATTAAATCAAATGAATGTGAGGCACATAAGCTACAGAAGAACAAGGTCCATAATGCATTGTGGATACATTAAAAAATTTTATAAACTGTAAAGCAATGTTCAACTGATAGTCATATTACTAATAACAATTATGGACAGTAAAGATGTAGCACAAAGTTACTAAAGAGTCATGAACTATGTTAATTCAATAGCTGCCTGAATGACAGTTTAAGAACCACCTAAACTCCTGACTTCTTTACAAAGTTCCCCTGGAAACTCCCACACAGGGTGCTAATAATGGCTGTAAATTCACCAGACTCCAAACCAAACTGGAGCTAACTAGAATGCCCAAGAGCTAACTGGAACCCTCGCTGATCAGAGGAGTAGGTCAGGACTCCGGGAATGGCAGAATGTCTGGGTTTCTGGAGGTGTGTTGGACATGATTTAATGAGATCTGTCTTGTGGAAGTCCCATTAATCATTTTCGTGTCAGGTGATTAAGGTTATTTTTTGTCCTGAATGCCTTTTATTTTAATTTGGACTACACACTGGGAAGAAAGTATAGTCAGATATTACGCCCACCTGTTTTCTTTTTATTATACATACTTTAGATTGCAGACTGAATACAAATATTGATCAGAAGCCAACAAGCCCCACGCATTTCTTATCAATTCAATCCAGGCCAATTTGTCTTTCAACTCTGCATTTTTATGTTCTTGCCTCACCACTTACTAAAATAAATATATGAATAAATAGCAATCCAATCCAAATAAGCATCTTTCATCTATAATTATCTGAAACAAGAGATTTAAAGAAGAGTAGAGTTAATCCATCTCACCAATGGCATCCTCAATGCCTGTTCAGTCATGCTTAAATGTCTAGATTCAATTTATGGAGAGTATGAATGTATAACATTGTAGAGGGACGCTTCTGGCAGATACTGTTGGAGGGACACCAGGTCAAACAGTCCCTCTGCTGTTTTGTGACAGTCAGTCTCTGGGCTGGGTCAGATGGTGGGAGAGTTATGTCTAAATCTGGAATGGATCACACACAATTAAGTTCTTGTGAGACCAAAAAAATCTATCAATGAATGAATGAGAAAGTAAAAGCAAAACCTCCCCAGGCTAGAGGACAGTCAAACGGAAAGTAACTATCTTTTCCCACCTAATTAAAAATTTGAAATGAGAATGGAAATTAATGATGGAAAAACCGTTTCTAAGTTTTAAAATATACAGGCTTTTTCTTGGGTGGCTGGGGTTGCTATTTTGAGGTGATGTTTGGAAATCTTGGGAAAAAAATCTGATTTTTCCCCTCACTGGAAACTGGTTACTCAAGCAAAAGTTAACAGCCTCAAATCACCTTTTAACTCACAATTTAAGCCCTATAAGAATACTACCACAGGGTGGGCAGTCCTCAACTTTTATTCATTCTACACAGAATTCTACAATGCTGCTTATCTGAAGAATTTGGATATTCATATAGCAGCTGACAAGTGGCCATTTTAAAGTTTTCCCTGTAGATGCTGTCTGCCCTGCCAGCAAGTTTAGTTTTGGCATTTTCATGATCTTTGACACCAGGATCTGTTGTTACTCAATTATCAGTAAAATAAAAGTACCAAGTCAAAGATGTCAATTTTGAGGCTTGTTATCAGTGGCAAGTGTTTGGCTTCAATCAGATAATCACTGTGTGATCAACTGTAGAGGAAAAGAACGAGTAGGCATGAAAGGTGGGAAACATTGCTGAAGTTGATCAAAAAGGCAAGAACCTTTGCTGACTTGAGGGGGGCCTTCTCTGTTGCACACATGCACGCACACAATGAACACATTGAAGTCTATTGCAGAACTTTCAGTGATTTGACTTCACTGTACATTTTTGGGGACCTGATATGTGCTAAAATCAAGTGTAAAGATTAGACTCTAAATCCATCATTATTAGTGACTATCTCCAGCACAGAAGATAGTCCTGAAAGATTAAGAGACAGAAAAAGAATCCTTAGAGTTGACCTATTTTGAAATGATAGTTCTGCAGGTGAAGTAACTAGAGGGTACAAAGATGATCATCCTAGATTAACACTCTCCAGCTAAATCAATGGTGGCTCTGGGATCAGTGCCTGGGGTTTCTCTGATTCACTGTTCTTTCTATTACTGTTATTTTTGATGCCCTACCATCATGTTAACATTATAATGCTATCTGATTCCTCAAAAATCACTGGACACATGATTCTCGAAAGCCTTGGAAAATAGTAGTGCCTCCAGGTTGGGGGTCTGTGAGTGTCTCTGATTCTCACTTCCCAAAATTAATACAGTATCAAGACTTGAATGTCAAATCAATACTGACTGATGTTGCAAATGTTTTAAGATGGTTTCTGTATTTATCTTCCAGGTCTAAGGTTAAATATCACCTTTTCAGAGATGCCTTCTCCAGCAAGCTTATCTATGCTTGCCCTGTTCTTTATAAGATTTTATAGCATAAGTCATATTCTGAAATACATTTGTTTGCTTACTGATTGTGTATCTTCTCTAATAGACTGTAAATTCCATGAAGGCATGGATCATTTCTGCCTTGTTCACTATCATTTATTTAGCCCCTAGCCCCATTCTTGGCATACTGAATAAGCTCAAATAATATTTGTTAAACAAACAAATGAATTTATCTCTCTAGCCCATGATTGAGGCAAGACTTATAAAAGCTCTAATTATCTCTTTTGTCCTGCCCTAAACTTGGTATCTGAGCCCAGCGGATTAAAGTTTTAGGGAAGAAGATTTTAGCTCAGCAAAAGCTACCAACAAGACAGATTCAGAAATGGAATGAGATGTTTTGTGGGATCCTAAGGTCTTTGCCAAGAAGTACATGCCCAGGTATATAGGGTCTCTGTGCATCAGGCAAAAGTTGGGCCATGAGAACATCTTAGTGACTTCTGTGATTTCCAGCTCTAAGGTTTGGCAGTTCTTTTCAGTTGTTTGCTTTGGGTTAGGATAAAATAAAGTCCACATACAAACTCATCGGGAAATAACCTCAGATAAGTTATCTAATGAGATGCAGAAAATTGACTATTTAGGCATGCATGCCATTTACCATTATTTGATACATACAAATTCTACTGGGCATACAATTTGCCTGTAAGTCCATAGATATGTAAAACTCAATGAAGACTAAAAGAGTTAAAAAAAAATGTAGTATTTCACCGTTTCAAGTCTGTGCGGGCGCGCGCGCGTACACACACACACACACACACACACACACACACACACACTTTCATGTAACTGTATCATCTCTGAGGAAATGATGCATGAGCTCATACAGAGTAAGTGGCTTGTCCAAATCATACGCATAAAGTGCTACGTTGTCAGGTCTCAAATTTCCAAATCAGCAATCCTCTTAAAACTCTAATAGCCGATGTTGCTTTCTGAGTCCAGAATTACCCGTCCTTCAGGTTTAGCTATATTTGCATGCTCATCTTGCATTTGAAACACCTTCTTCCACTTTTCACTGTGGAAAGGTCATATGGAATTTAAAAATATAACTGTATTTTTCTTTTGGAAAATATTTTAGTATCAAAAATCTATTTTATTATTAGAGAAGTTATAAACATCTCCTATAAACTAATTACAACACAACAGTCATTAGTTTAAGTAATTAATACATTTCATTTGCTGTTTTTATAATTAAAGATCAACAGTTATTAAATGGGACTTTTCTCATCCAGTCTGATAAAAGATTTCAGTTCAGAACAGTAGCTTAGTATTAACTCAAATAAGATCCCCAAAAGAATATTTTCTTATGTTTAGTAAAGCAGTGAGAATAAGATGGCCATTTATCATAGGTTAAATGGAAAGGGAGAAAAGATCCAACATTTTATTTTTAGCTCCTTGTTTCTCAGAGGTCACAAAGGGCAGTGCTCTAATGGTTAAAGACAAAGTAAAACACATGTTCTCATCTCGTCTTAAGAATCTGAAAGGACCTCTGAGACCACAGTTCAGTTTCTTCATTTTTTCTTAATTGACATAACAGATTTTGAGATTCTACCTGCTGCAAGTATCTCTTTTTGAGAGAGTTCATCTTTCCATGAATTGCTTTCAACTTTCTAAGAAAATCATGATCACTTCTATTTTTCATAGGTTATATCTTAGGGCATGACAATTACCTACTGAAACTGCATTTCTACACTTCAAATGTGCATTCTCCTGTCTGCATATTCACATGCAGTACTTCTGGCACAGGGTAATTTTCTTTACCTGGTCTTCCAGCTATAAAACACATGAATGAGTAAATCTTGGAAAGGGGATAACATCTTTGATATTGTCAATTCCCAAGATGCACTGCAGATAGCGTTCAAATCCCATCCCAAAACCTCCATGTGGTACAGATCCAAATCGACGGAGGTCCAGATACCTGATTTTGAAAAACAGAGAATCATCACATATAGATGCTATATTGTATCAGATGCCATGATAGGACTTCACATTTCAAAAATATTTTACAATCATTTGTTATCATCTATATCATTTTTTAAATGTTTATTTTGAGAGAGAAAGAGAGCAGGTGGGAGTGGGAGGGAGGGAGGGAGGGAGGGAAGGAGGGGGAGGGGGGGAGAGGGGGAGAGAGAGAGAGAGAGAGAGAGAGAGAGAGAGAGAGAGAGAGAGAGAATCAATCCCAAGCAGGTCCCATGCTGTCAGAGCCAGAGCCCAACAGGAGACTTGATATGACAAACTAGGAGATCCTAACCTGAGCTGAAATCAAGAGTCTGGCACTCAAATAACTGAGCCACCCAGGCACCCTGATTTACCTGACTGTAGTAAACAAATCTTTTCCCTCCAAAGACAGGTGAAGGACAAGTTACAATGAACTGTCCAAGGTAACTCAAATAGCAGTATTCCTGTCAAGCATTCATATGCTTTGGTCACTTGATCCTTTTTAAGTCATTTATGTACTTATATACAGAAAACTTGCCTCATGAGGCTACAGAAACTGTTCTAATAACTTTACTAATTTTCTTGAAAATATATTCTTCTATCTCTTAGTATGTTAGTGCTTTTTTTCTTACTAAAATCATGTTGTTCAATACAGAGAGGAGTGAAGAGTTTTGCCCAATATGTTATAGAACGATATCCCTCTGTATTAGACTGTACGCTCTATCAAGAGTCGGAGTTGTGCCTTATTCAACCATTTTATCTCCACTGTCTGCTCTGGAGTAGATACTTACTCCATGAAGATTTATGGTGTGAAGCCATAAAAATATACTCTTGAATGTTAGAGTGAAATTTCTAGTCCTGTGCTTCAAACCTAGTATATGATGTCCAGATCCATTTTTCTGGAAGGTTAGACAGCCCCCAAAACCTATCCATACTAATTCTATTCCCATTTAAGATAATGTGGCTAGAAAATGGTGCAGTCATGATTCAAACTCAAATTTCAATACACCAGCTTGTCACAAATTTATTTTAAGAGAGGAAGAGAAGGCGGAAGACTTTAATTTGGTGGGAGATTTCTTTATTGCTTCTTGAATGATCTGTAAAATCACTTCCAGAATAAAATTTAAGTGCCATAGCTGGTAGTCATTTGGTTCCTCAGGCACAGAGACTAAAACCTATTTACCCACTATCAGTAATAATGACCACATGTACTGGTATTTTAGGCAAGTAAGAATGAATATGGATCTTTCTAAAATATAAGATGAATTGCAACTGGGTGAGTGACCACCAAGTGAGGGATCAATGAACAGGAGTATCTAGTATAAAGCTTCAGACTAGTAAGAACTATCAGGAATGATGGAAAAAGCACAGTCTTGAGTAAATGTTTGGTAGCTGAATTAACTTTAAGTTTACAAGGCATGGGGGCAGGGTATACTTTGGTTTACTTAGAAAATGAGATGAAAAGCCTATCAAACCACCTGCCACAAACACCTGCAGGATCTGGACTGGCTGTTAAAAGTCCAGCAATAGCTTTAGCTGACTCTAAATTTCTCACACATCGATGCCAAAACACCGGAATAAATGGCTGAAAACTGAACTCAGCAGATGGACTCAGTGTGTAGCATTTTTCTTGCCCCTGCTTTGATAAACAGAAAAATCCACTTTTAAAAAAACAAGTTTTCAAAAGAATATGTATTTGTTAGATTGCTGTTAAATTGATTCTAGGGTAGTCAGGTTACAGAAGAGATGGCACAAAAATTTGTGGAACTAGTTATAGATGTTATTTGCATAAGGCATGTAGAAATAGGAAGTGAGTAAAATCTTTAGACACCTGGGATGGTTACTCACAATGTAGAGATCGCAGACTTGAAGATTTCTAAAATCCCTTCTACCTTTCAAATACTGTGATTACCAGATAAAAGGAAGCCGATTCCAATAACAAGATATTTATATTTAGAGATCTTAAGAGTTTGAAAACTTTAGCTGGGACAAGAATCGTACTGAAATGATTAACAAAGACCAATAAGGCCTAAACTTATTTAACCAACAATTAAAATTTGTATTTAGCTAGCTTTTACACACTATGAAGATTCTCTCGTAGACAGACAAAAAAAGGCAAAATACATAAGCTTGCTCAATCAGGTTCATCTACCTAACAGCAAGAATGAGAACAAAGGAAGGAAAGGGGAAAGGAAGCTAGCTTTTACTGAGGTTCTATGCTAGGTAGCTACTTACCCTGTATTATTTCATTTCATCCCCACAATAATCCTGTTAAGTTGATATTTTCATTCCATTTCAGAGCCAAGAAAACCAAGACTCAGAGAGATTAAATATGCCTAAGGTCACTATTGGTAAATAATAAGGCATTTAAGGGTCATGACCTGAACATCATTTTAGGCTTCTGCAATTCTGCAATCTAGGTATTTCAAAAGTCAAGTGTATAATTTGACCCTTCCTTCTCCTGAAGACAGCAGAAGAATTAATAATATTGTTGGTATTATTACACCAAGATTCTGAAGGAAAGCTACTATAAAAATATAAGTACATAATTTGTATGTATTCAAATGTACTTACAGAAAGGGTCTGCAGAAACAATTCTGAAGAAGTAAATGTATGAATACAGACAAGTGTTCTTTCCTGTGTAGCACAGATTTCTACAGGCTTTAGGGATCACTTAGCTCAAACCTTAATTTGACACATGAAGAAACTGAAGCATAATGGTTAGGAAAAAAGCCCCAGCTCTATGTGTCTAACTGTGTGCTCTTGGTTAAGTTAGTTAACATCTCTAGGCCTTAGGTCTGGAGAAGTAATAAAAAGGAGATAAGAAGAGTAACCAACTCACAGGGTGTTATGATAATTACATAAGAAAATATAATTAAAAATTTTAACACAGTTATCCAGCACACAATAACAGAAATAAATGGCAGCCACTATCATTACTATTTTTCCAGGACTCAAAGGGAATAAATACTCTTCTGAGAACCTACCTATTCATTTTTCTTAACATCTTTCACAGTGCCTTGTGAATACACATAAAACCTACATAACAATCAGGCCAAACAGCTATAATAAGAATGATTAAGGGTCACATTCTTACCATTGGTAGGCTTCTGTTAGTCTTAATCTGTAAGAGGAAAATAACAAAATTCTTTCAGAAAATGGCAAAAGATAAAAATAATAATCACCAAACAATTATTCCAGGTTGTATGCAAAGTGCTCTTTATAAAGAAGTATACACAAAAACGTGTGCTCTCAGAGAACATGCACTATAGTTGAGAAGCTGAACCTTTAATATGGTAAGAAAGCTAAGGTATCCAGTAGTCTAAGGTATTATCACGTGAGTGGTAGAGATGATAAATGCTATAGAAAGTATAGTCCAGATCCCAAAAGAAGGGGTTCATTTTAGACGAGCTTACTATCCTCTGACATAGGAAATGCACTGTAATTATGGGGACTGGGAGGCACACTGAAGGAACACAAAGACATACCTTTCATTCTGTAATAGTGAAATAGTATTATAGATTCTACCTTCAGAATATGGTTGAAGATCATTTTTTGGCCAGTTTGGAAAATGTTAATAAAAGTTTAAAGTCTTAGTTCTCATGAAAATTAATTTTAGCCCTTTAACGCCTCGCTGGCTTGGTCAGTGGAATGTGCAACTCTTGACTTTGCTGTTGTTAAGTTTGAGCCCCAGGCTGGGTGTACAGATTACTTGAAAATAAAATCTTAAAAAAAATAATTTCAGTCTTTTAAAAAAGTGTGTGGGATCACAGTGCATCTGAAGTGATACAAACTATGAAAAAACCACATATATAGAAAACATGAACATAAGTCACAGATATATCCCTGAGATAGGGAAACACATATAACCATTTCATTAGGAAACATAAATTGGGATATAATCAGGTATTAGGTACACATGTAATGGTATGAGCAAGGGTTTCCTGAAGGAAGGAAGCAAGCAAAGAAAACAGACCAATTAATCTTTCAACAGATGAGGTTTCTTGCCATGTGTGATTTTTATTGTGCTTAAAAAAAAAAAAAAAACCCGGAGAATCTTAAAATTCTTTCCATCTAAGGAGTTTGACCTTTACTTCAATTTCACAATTTTCCCAGGACTTTCTAACATTACAGTAGTAAGGAATTAGGGGTCTAACTCACAAAAAAGAAGCCTCCCAGAACATATTTATCCCCTTTCTCCTGGACCCTAACCAAATAGAGCAGTTCAAATGACTAGGATTACAAAACCAAGTTACCCCACAGATTTATAGGTTGGGATCTTGGAAAAAATATCAACTTTTTAAGCATTTCTCCATTAGGAAAAGAAGAACTTACAAATGACTAATTTTACAGGATATTTTCAAACTATTATGGCTTTTCCATTTTACCATGAAACCCAGTATTATCTGGAGACTAGGAAGGAGAGTGGGATTAAGCCTTCAACATGGGAAAAACTTTATTTTTTTTTAAAGTCTGGCATAGCAAAAGTGGAGACCGTGGAAAACAGAAGTTTATAACCTTGGTTAGTTTAGGAAGTCATTGTGGTTTGTTGGCAGACCACGTATACATAGGAGTTCGATTAGAAACACAATTCTCCACTTCACATCTCCAAAACATTTTCTGTATTTTATGGACTCATTTCTAGGTCTCAAGCAGCAAGTTAAAATGAGTTATTCAAATAGCTTAATCAAGACCCTTACATAGCAGAAAACCCGAGGAAGGGAAAACTGCTTATTCTAAATGTTGGTTTAGTGGGTATTTTGAGTATCTTTCTTCCCCCAGCTTTATCTTTTCCCTGATTCAGAGTCTGTCTTTATCTCCCTATAGGAGTATTTGTTTATGTCCCCAGTCATAATTTAGAATCAATAAAAAAGTACACAGAAAAGAGCAAAAAAATGAAGGACAAGCTTTAAGGTTGGCTTCTATCATTAACTTTTAAAAAAGCAATTTCTGAGGTGTCTGGGTGGCTTAGTTGCTTAAGCATCCGACTTTTTGATTTCAGCTCAGGGCATGATCAAACGATTCATAGAATGGAGCTCTGCATCAGACTCTGTACTGACAGTGTGGAGCCTGCTTGGGATTCTCTCTCCCTCTCTCTCTCTCTCTCTTTCTCTCTCTCTCTCAAAATAAATCAATGAACATTAAAAAAAAATTTTAAAGCAATTTCTATAGGGAGAGAGATATACAAATGAGTGGGCAAATGTCACTATGGGCCTTATTTCACCTAACAGTTCCAACCACTAAGAAAGGGAAGCTCAGAGAGGTCATATAACAACTTGTTCCAGGCCACAGGGAATCGGAGATCCAGGTCAGTCAGGTGCTGTGGCTCATTCACTGCTGCTCTCTGTCACTTTGCCAAGACGGCCTTTGGAGTGCCTCATCCTCAGTCTCTGAATTTTGTTTCTTTTAGGTCTGATCATTACCTGGCCAGTCGCTGCTCTAAGAAATGGTATCGTTCCTCTCTGAGGCTTCCTCCAAAGAGCTCCCCAACTCCAGGGACCAGAAGATCAACAGCAGCAACCTAAAAAGGAAAAAAAACTATAAGCAATCTTACATTTTCAGAGGATTCCAATAATTGTCAGGTTCTCAAGGAAGTGGAACTTTTAACATTTTGGCAATGGACTATTTAACTGCTTACCCAAATATTATTTATGTTATCCATTCATGCTGTTTCAAAATCAAATTTTTAATATAATCTTTAGACTAAACGATACAAATTGCAGACAGTTACGTCTCCTTTCTTGCACCATGTATGCAGTGTACCTAATAGAAATGTGTTTTCTTCACAAATGTGTTATGTTTATTATAAAAAATATGGCAAGTATTAAAAATTATGAGGTATTAAAAATCGCCTATCACCAGGCAGAATAAATAGAATTTTTTTATAAAGATGTTGTATTTTTTATGTTGAAAATTAGGCCAGCGATAGTCCAACTTTGCCGGGGAGGGGTAGACTGAGCCCAGTATCAGGCTATGTGCTGACAACGTGAAGCCTGCTTGGGATTGTGTCTCTCCCTCTCTCTGACTGTCCCCTATTCTCTCTCTCTTGAAACAAATAAACTTAAACAAAAAAAAGTTATCAGTTTTTATTTAATTGCTTTTCTTTTGTTGAACATTTTGGTGTCTCTTGTTTATTTTCTCTTTAATAATGTGACAGTAAAGAGTCTTCTCTGATTTATAGTATTTTGGTAGGACTTGTAAAATGTTATTTAAAAAAATTTTTTTAATGTTTTATTTATTTCTGAGACAGACAGTGTGAACAGGGGAGGGTCAGAGAGAGAGAGAGAGACAGAATCCGAAGCAGGCTCTAGGCTCTGAGCTAGCTGTCAGCACAGAGCCCAATGCGGGGCTCGAACCCACGAACCATGAGATCATGACCTGAGCCAAAGTCGGACGCTTAACCAACTGAGCCACCCAGGCGCCCCTAAAATACCTTATTTTTTAGAAAATGTTTGTTTATTTATTTTGAGAGAGATAGAGCAGGGGAGGGACAGAGAGAGAGGGAGAGACAGAATCCCAAGCAGGCTCCGTGCTGTCAGCGCAGAGCTCAATGTGGGGCCTGCTCTCACGAACCATGAGATCAATGACCTAAGATGCAATCAAGAGGTGGAAGCTTAACCGACTGAGCCACCCACTGAGCCACCCAGGTGCCCCAAAAATGTTCTAATGATTAATCAAAGAAGTAAAAACTGAAACAATGAGATAGGATTTTGGAGTTATCAAAATGTGAAGGCAAAAAACCCAACATAAACAGCATGGATAAGAAGACACGTAAGCCACCACTCTCCCACGAGTGACAAAACCTTTCTGGTTAGTAACTCGAGAGAAGATGATCAAAAGCCTTAACCATCCATATGCTGTGACCTGGCAATGGAACGAGTCTTAAGAAAATAACCAGAGATGCAAAAACAAGCAAGCAAACAAACAAACCAAACAACCAGAAAAAAAGAAAAAGAACAGAAAAGATTATTGCATAGGGTGTCCGTTGCAGTATTACTTACAATAAAAATTCAAGCGTATGTCAACAGAAGATGATGACTAGGTAAATCTTATTATTACTATTTTTAATGTTTTATTTATTTCTGAGAGAGAGACAGCGTGAGCAGGGGAGGGTCAGAAAGAGAGGGAGACTTAGAGTCTGAAGCAGGCTCCAGGCTCTGAGCCAGCTATCAGCACAGAGCCTGATGCGGGGCTCAAACCCAGGAACCGCAAGATCATGATCTGAGCTGAAATCGGATGCCTACCCGACTGAGCCACCCCAGATGCCCCAATGATTAGGTAAAAAAGACTGGCATCTACAATGAGATGTAATTATGTTGCCACTGTAATTTCTTCTTTTCTCTGTTATTTATTTTCTACAATGAGGATGTGTTACACTTTTATAGTAAGAAAATAACAAAAAACTTAATAGGGGAAAATGGTAGCTTCATATTTTAATTTGTATTTCTTCAATCACTAGTAATACTTAATTTTTGATAATGTTTGCTATCAATATTGTTTTGTGACTTGGTAATTCTTTTTTGTGGGGCAGGTAAGCATTATTAGGACCAAGAATCTGAAGGCACAAAACTAAAAAAGTATGCAACAAATGAAAAATTAGGAACTCATAAAACACATTTCAATCTTCAATTATTATTATTATTATTATTTTAAAGTAAACTCTATACCCAATTGGGGCTTGAACTCATGACCCCAAGGTTAAGAGTCACATGCTCTACTGACTTAGCCAGTAAGGTACCCCTTACATCTTAATCTTTAAATGTCACATTATATTAAACTCTTTTCTTAAACTCTACCTTACTGTACTATTAAGCCACCACCCTGTTCTGATTTCAGAACTTTTTTTTTTCTTCTAAGTAGACTTCACACCCAGCATGAAGACCAATGCAGGGCTTAAACCCATGACCCTGAGATCAAGACCTGAGCTCAGATCAAGAATTGGATGCTTAACTGACGGAGCCACCCGTGTGCCCCTGATTTCAGAACTTTGAACTGAGATATCCTTTATAAATAATTGAGATTAATAAAGAATGTAATAATTCAAGAATGTGCCCCAAATAATGTATGTCTCATCCTCATTAATATGGTTAAAAGAGAAAAACATCAGGTATAATTTTCTTCACTTGGCTGAATGAGAATGAGAGAGAAAAGAAATTCACTAATGGCGTTTACCTTTACTAAACTTCCTACCACTCAATAAGCTTGTGGGAAGACAGATTTTTGTCACACTACCACTGCTTACTGACCACATCTTAGTAATTCTTCTGTGAACTTGGGGGGAGAACAACCACCAAGCAGGTAATTCAGAATGTGGATTTGGTGACTCATACACGATGACAGGTAATGAAACACACAACTTTGGACAGGTGGACAAGACAGCCTTAGAGTAAATTCTCATGGGCTATGTAGTTAATAGAGTTGGACTCCAACCAGGACCCTGCAGTTGCCCTTCCTGTTCTTAGAGAAAGGAGAAGTTTCAAGGGAGTTTTTATGGCCACTGAAGGACTGGTATCTTTATTTCTTAGTATCCTGCTTTTAGACATGGCTAAAATATGCTAGAGGTTGAGACACACGTGTTCAAAAATTTGTTAACTTTATTTTTCTAGGTGTATTTATTTGAGAGAAAGAGAGAGAGAACAGGGGAGGGGCAGAGAGAGTAAGAACAGGGGAGGGGCAGTGATACAGGGAGAGTGAGAGGGAATCTCAAGCAGGCTCTGTGTTGTCAGCATGGAACCCGATGCAAGGCTCGAACCCACAGACCATGAGATCATGACCTGAGCTGAAAGTGAGTTGGATGCTTAACCGACTGGGCCATCCAGCCACCCCCAAAATTTGTTAACTTTAATACAGAGTTTTAAATTTAGACTTACAGGTGATCAAGATTAGAAAAGAAGAGACAACATAGTGGCTCTCTGGTCTTTTTTTAAAATATTTAAAGACTGGGGTGCCTGGGTGGCTTAGTCGGTTAAGGGTCTGACTTTCGCTTAGGTCATGATCTCGCGGTTCGTGGGTTCTAGCCCCGCGTTGGGCTCTGTACTGACTGCCAGCTCGGAGCCTGGAGCCTATTTCAGAGTCTGTGTCTCCCTCTCTCTGACCCTCCCCTGCTCACGCTGTCTCTCTCTCCCTCTCTCTCCTAGAAATAAATAAAAATATTAAAAAAAAATATTTAAAGACTGAGAACCACTACCCCTGAAATACAGCATTCCATCTTTGGGTAGTTCTGACTACTAAGACAGGACAGGTATATCTAAAATCTATTTCCAAGGGTTTTGTTTTTTATTTTTAAGTTTATTTATTTATTTTGAGAGAGAGAATGAGTGTGTGCATGTGTGCAAGCAAGTAGGAGAGGGGCAGAGAGAGAGGGAAAGAGAATCCCAAGCAGGGTCTGTGCTGTCAGCATGGAGCCCAATGTGGGGACTGATCCCATGAACCGTGAGATCATGACCTGAGCCAAAATCAAGACTCGTAAACTCAACCAACTGAACCACCCACTTCTCTCCCCAAGGTTCTGAAGTTGAGGCAATTCCAAGCCACAAAGGTAAGCAATAATTGCTTCTGCTACTTTAAGTGTAGGCAAAGCTTTTAAAAGCCAGAGCTATAAAGGTCTACTGCCAAAAAAAAAAAAAAAGATGCTGGAGAATTAGCTACCATGGAAGAACAGGAAATTAGAGTCTGGCTGGGGTTGGTGGCCAGGGATGAGGGAAGGAGTTATTCTGCTTTTTCTATCCATTCATAAGAATCGAACAAGAGACCCATTTCTTGCTTGGTCTTGCTGCTAATGCAACTAGAACAAGTTAAAAAAAAAAAAAACCTTTGGAAATCTTAGCACGTTCTGTAGGTCTCAATTATGTTAGTTTTGAACCTTAGTTTTTTCAATATTTTTTTAGAGGACCATGAAAGATACATATTTATCTTTGATTTAAAATCTCCTTTATTTTAATATTTGAGTTCACTGGAGAAACTATACTGGTTTTAGACCTTTCTGTTATTTTTGTTTATCTAGGATATTTGCAACTGCACAGTAATAGTTGTAGAACCGGTAGCTTCTGAATCTTTTGAACCACCTTCAAAATCGTATGCCACAGTACAAAATCTACATTTTTCCCCCTGGATTTCATTTAAATCTGTCTTCCTAATAAAAGAGGCATCTGACTGGTTAGACCCAGTTATTTCCACATTAGCTATTATAAAATTAATGTGGTAGTTGCTGTAGTAGTCTATAAGTAGTTAGATTATGCTACTTAATAACCTAGTAATAAACAATCCCAGAAACTTACAACAGGGCTTCTCAATCTCAGCATTAGTGATATTTCTGGCCAGGTAATTTTACTGTGAAGGTCTGTCCTGTGCATTATGGGATATAACTGCTCTCTCCCCACCAGATGCCAGGGGCACTGCCCTAGTTCTGACAACCAGAAATGTCGCCAGACATTGCTAAATGTCTTCTGCATGGGAGTAGGGGGTTGGGAGTGGGGAGACGACATAAAATAACACCTGACTGAGAACCACTGCTTTCCAACA